CCCCCCACTTCCCCCCCCCCCCCCCCCCCCCACGCCCTTCCCCCCTAACCACCCCCGACTGCAGTGCTCGACATCGACTACGGCACGTACCCCTACGTCACGTCGTCCAACACCAGCCTGGGCGGCTGCATCCAGGGCCTGGCCCTCAGCCCCTTCAGCCTCAAAAACGTCATTGCCGTCGTCAAGGCGTACACCACCCGCGTCGGCGGCGGGCCCTTCCCCACCGAGCAGCTCAACGACGTCGGCACCAAGCTGCAGGACATTGGCGGCGAGATCGGCGTGTCCACCGGCCGCCGCCGGCGCTGCGGCTGGCTGGACCTGGTCGTCCTCAAGTACTCCATGGCCGTCAACCACTACACGACCATCAACCTGACCAAGCTCGACGTCCTCGACACCTTTGCCACCATCCGCGTGGCCACGGCCTACGTCACGCCCGACGGCCAGAAGCGCACGACCTTCCCGGCCGACCTGGGCGAGCTCGAGACCTACGAGGTCGAGTACGCCGATTTCGAGGGCTGGCAGACGTCGACGAGCGGCGTGCGGGACTGGGACAAGCTGCCCGCGCAGGCGCAAAAGTACATTTCGTTTATCGAGGAGTTTGTCGGCGCCAAGGTCGCGTACATTGGCACGGGCCAGGACCGGAAGGACATGATTATTCGGCAATAGGCCGACCGAAGGGGTGTTGCGACGGACAGGAGGACGCAGAACACGACAAAAGACAAATAAAAAAGAAAGATACAAAGACATAAAGACGAGAAAGGGCATTCAACAGCAGGCAAAACCTGTACACTGTCCTCGACGCAGGCACAGCAACGACACCACGAGTGAAGACACTCGAAATGTGAGACAGACATAAAATAGAGACTCGACGAAACGAGCAATGAATCTAACAGCATGGACAATGAAGAAGACGAAGCACAGCATACTGGTGGCCGTGGAGGGTCTCGTATTCCCGCATTCTGATTCGCCCACAAACCAAAACAGGCGAGGTAGAACAAGGCTGCCACACAATTTCCTTGGATTAACGTCACAACCCCAAGTCAAAAGGCTGTCGTGTGATTGAGCAGCCTGACCCCGACCCTGCCGCCATGATGTGCACACCCATTTTCCAGAGCGAGCGTCGACACGTCCTCGCTGCCTTGACTTTTCGATAGCTAGTGAAAACGACCAGCAAAAAGCCGACGATCGACAGAATAGCCTCCGTCACTTGACAGGGATTATGATCTGAGAGTAAAGCCATCACACACCTTGTCCGAAGCAACCCTGCAAGTCCTCCCCCTCCACAACCCCGCTTATGACGCTCACAGCTGGGAATCTCTTCTCCCCAAAACCCCCAACCTCCTCCCAATCGTCACTATTTTTCTTGGCCCTCCTCCCTCCCCCTCCGTCTGCCCTCGGCCCTACGCACAGCCTATGCATCTCAGCTGCTGCATGGCAGACGATGGTGCCGTTTCCTGCAGCACACCGATTCTGTCAGCTGACGGAGTGCCAGGAAGAAGGTGTGGTAATTCCTGCGTACACGGAAAACGTAGCATCAAAAAGTCCAAATCCCAGTCGATGTGATATGCAATATTTGATACGTTCAGCTCGAACCATCTGAGATCCTTCAGTTTTATTTTATTCATATTCACATTTATCGTTCCCGCCCTTCCTCGTAAAAGAAGTGTCCCCTTCAGCTTTGAAACGTCGTCGCATGAAGAAGCTGAAAACACGATAACGAGCTGATAAATCGCACACCTACCCCTGCCTTGTGATTCACCCCTACTCTGGCATCCCAACTCGTTACTTTCACATTTCAACGTCGCTTGTCCTCGTCGTATTTTGACTCCCCAGTGACCTGCCGTTAGCACTTCAGCACAGCAACCATCATCTCGGCAGCCTCGCTGTGGCTGTTCCAAATAACCAAATCAAACAGCTCTTCTACCCCCCGCTCGACATGTCCTCGTCCACCTCTGCCGGCGAGGGCGACCAGTCCAAGCGCCAGGCACTGACCAACGCGGCCTCCCGCGCTGTCCACCGCCTCAGCGCCGCCGCCGAGGCCGAAATCGCCGAAATCGCCAAGCGCCACCACCCGTCCGCCGCCAACGCCTACCGCCTGCAGCTGCTCACGCGCCAGCAGCGGCAGTTTGCCGACCTGGAGGCGGCGCTGCCCGACCGCAGCAGCGCCTGGGGGTTTACCGGAGGCGCCGAGGACGGCGCGCCGCTGTCGCTGCGGCCCTCGGCCCTGCTCGCATCGGGCGGCCGCCTCCTGCAGTCCGTCTCCAAGGCGTCGGCCCAGTCGTCGCGCGTCGCCGACCTCCTGAGCTACCTCGGCAAGCGCAACCCGGCACCACAGCCGATCACGGACAAGGACTGCGTCTGGCTGCTCGACAACGTCGCCTTTGTCGACGCCGCCACGGGCGACTACCAGGCCGAGTACGTCGTCGCCGTCATGGCGCAGCACCCGACCTGCAAGGTTGTCGACGCGGTGCGTGCCGTCGCGGACACGCTGGGGCGCGGGGCCCTGGACGACGCCGCCCTCAAGACGATTGAGGAGCGCATCGTTCCGTTCCTGCAGGACATCCTGCCGGGCCGCCAGGTGGCCGCCCTGCACGGCGAGGATTGGCGGCTGCTGTTCAGCCCCGGCGGCCGCAACGGCCTGAGCAGCGACGTCCGCCGGCTGCCGGGCGCCAAGCCGGGCGCGCTGGTGCCGACGCGTGCCGAGGTGCCGGCCGGCGTCAACGGGATGCTGGAGATGCAGACGTTTTACACGGCCAAGACGAACGGCGCCGGCGACGCAAGCCATACATCGCTGCGCGAAAGGCACTGGGGCGTCATTTCCGACATTGACGACACCATCAAGCTGACGCAGACCAGCGACCCCATTGGCATCCTGCAAAAGACCTTTGTCGACCCGGCCACGCCCATCGAGGGCATGCCCCCGCTCTACCAGTATATCCAGGCGCGCATGGGCGACGCCGCCCCCTTCTTCTACCTGTCGGCCTCGCCCTACAACCTCTACCCCTTCCTGCACGGCTTCCGCCGCCAGTTCTACCCGCACGGCATGCTCGTCCTGCGCGACGCCACCCTCATGAGTGTCTCCGGCCTGCTGTCCACCCTCACCCTCGGCACCCAGGCCTACAAGGTCGACCGCATGCACAAAATCCACGGCTGGCTGCCCGACACGACGTTTGTCTGCATCGGCGACTCCACCCAGAGCGACCCGGAGGCCTACGGCGAGATCTACCGCACCTTCCCCGGCTGGGTCGGCCTGATTCTCATTCGCAAAGTCACCGACATTGCCGCCCTCGGCATGGAAGAGAAGAACGACCCGGACCGCTTTGACAAGGCCTTTGAAGGCGTGCCCAAGGACAAGTGGCACGTCTTTGAGCACCCGCACCAGTGCTACGCCCTGGTGCAGCAGGCCGTGGGCACCGGAACCGCAGCAGAAGCCGTTGCAGCAGCGGCGGCGGCGGCAGCAGAGGCAACGACGAGTCAAACAGCCACAGCAAGTGCAGGTGACGATGAGTAGGATGGGAACCTGTTGATTCGGCGATTGGTTTGGATGAATTTGGTTTAATTGCCTTTACGACGTGTATGAATAAACTGATTTATGAGCAGAGTTGTCTGTGTTACTGAATCAGGGGTATTTAATATTTGACATGATTAGTTTATATTTCATATTCAGTTTCATGGAATAATTTAATTTCGAATTGTTAAACAAAAAAAGAAAAAAGAAAAAAAAAAGAAAAAAAAAGAAAATTAATATCCAAAAAATAGTATCATAAAAGCTTCTGTCAGAATCTTTAAAAAGAAAAATCAGTTCACAGAAGATGCCACCAACCCCCCCTCCAAGAAAGAATCATAAAATAGCTAGTAATTTCCTCAAGCCTCCGTCATGGGGTGGACATCCAAGGATCTGGGAGGCTAAACTGTGGATTCGAAGCTGCGGAGTTGCCCAATGTACTTTTTTTTAAACACCACAATGTGACGCGGATCTTGCTCACCAAAACCAACTTGACGGCTCCATTAATACTTGTGTTTTTCTCGTGATATCACCGTCATCTTGAGCCTCAAACAGCAAGCCATAAAAGTGGAGACGGCGACCAGAGTGTCCTTGCATGTGGGTCCATACCGTGTTTTGAAAGCACGTGACCTTGCCGGACAAAATTGTGGGCCGTTTGCGTCAAAGTGCGTCGTCTAGGCAGAGCTGTGCCTGACGTGGAAGCTACCTGGCGCGTTGCTCTGCCTTTTGCCTTCTGGCTTCTCTCCTGACGATGCCCACCTAAGCCCTCATTTCCCACCAAAACACGCGCAACCTCGCATCTCCATCCTTCCCGCCATCGACCATCGACCATCGACAGACTCCTCCGACTGTCGTTGCTGGCTTCAATTGTGCGGTTGGGATCCTTTCCGACGTCGTTTTCTCTTGCATCTGCAGAATTTTCTCGCCATAATTCGCCACATCACATCTTCGATTCTTTTGCATCGTCACATCACACATCGCCGTCACAACAAACCACAACAAAGACAGCCACCTCTGCTTCTCCCCCTCCCCCTACCGCCATGCCTGGCCTCATCACCGCCACGGGCGTGCTCGGCTTCCTGGCCGATGAGGAGCCCGAGCTCAAGGTCTTCGCCCTCAACACGCTCAACGATGACATCGACACCGTCTGGACGGAAGTCGCTGGCGCCGTCAGCCAAATGTAGGCTTTTGACCCTTCACCTTTGCACGTTCCCCCGGCACCTACTAATGAACCCAGCGAGGCCCTCTACGAAGACGAAGACTTCCCCGAACGCCAGCTCGCCGCCCTCGTCCTCGCCAAGGTCTACTACCACCTGCAGGCTTACAGCGAGAGCATGACCTTTGCCCTTGCCGCCGGCGACCTCTTCAAGCTCGACAGCCCCGGCGAGTTCGAGCAGACCATCATCTCCAAGTGCATCGACCAGTACATTGCCGGCTGCATCGCCGACCACCGCCCCGCCCTGCAGGCCAAGACCGACCTCCCCTCCCTCGAGACGGCCCTTGGCGGCCTCGACAGCTCCACCCTCCTCTCGCCCACCACGCCCTTTTCCCAGTCGACCCTGCCCTCCAAGTCCCTGCTGTCGCGCGACTCCGTCGACAACACCATCTTCGACCCATCTTTTGAGCCCGCTGTGGCCAAGGACGGCGCCCCGCGCTCCGGCTCCATCATTGCCCTGCCCGACCAGGCCACCAAGACGGCCCTCGAGCACGTCATTGAACATCTCTTTGCCAGCTGCCTCAAGGATGGCCGCTACCGCCAGGTTGTTGGCATTGCCGTCGAGGCCAAGAACCTCGAGGTGCTGCGCCGCGTCATCAAGCGCGCGAGCGACGACGCCAAGGCGGCGGCCGGTGGCAAGGGCAAGGCTGCGGCGCCGACCGAGCCAGCGCCGGCCGACGAGCTCATGGAGTACGTGCTGGGCATCTGCATGGACATTGTGCAGGAGCGCAGCTTTCGCACCGAGATCCTGCGCCTCATCCTTGACCTGTTGAGCGACATCCCCAACCCGGACTACTTTGCCATTGCCAAGTGCGTTGTCTACCTCAACTCCGACGAGGAGGCCACGCATCTGCTGCGCCAGCTCGTGGAGGTCGACAACCGCGAGTCGCTGGCCATCGCCTACCAGATCGCCTTCGACCTCTACGACAACGGCACCCAGGAGTTCCTGGGCAAGGTCATCAAGGCCCTGCCGGCACCGCCCCCGGCCAAGGAGGAGGACGCCGAGTCGAAGACCGAGGAGGCCAAGAAGGACAAGGACGGCGAGCGTGACGAGGACGGCGAGGACGCGGCCGAGTCGGATGCGCTGCTGAAGGACGACGACAAGAGCACGGCCACCGCGCCCGTGTCCGAGACGACCGTCGACGAGGAGCAGGTCAAGGCCTACGCCAACATTCGCGAGATCCTGGTCGGCACCAAGACCACCAAGCTCAACGTGGAGTTCCTGTACCGCAACAACCACGCCGACATCAGCATCCTGAACCGCGTGCGCGACTCCCTCGACGGCCGCAACTCCATCTTTCACACCGCCGTCACCTTTTGCAACGCCTTCATGAACGCCGGCACCACCCACGACAAGTTCTTCCGCGACAACCTCGAGTGGCTCGGCAAGGCCGTCAACTGGTCCAAGTTCACGGCCACCGCGGCCCTCGGTGTCATCCACCGCGGCAACATCACCCAGGCCCGCAAGCTGCTCGAGCCCTACATGCCGCGCATCGGCCAGCTGACCCAGGGCAGCCCCTTCAGCCAGGGCGGTGCGCTGTACGCCTACGGTCTGATCCATGCCAACCACGGCGCCGACGCCCTGGACTACCTCAAGAACGTCTTTGCCGGTGCCGAGGACGAGTACATCCAGCACGGTGGCGCGCTCGGCCTGGGCATTGCCGGCATGGCCACGGGCGACGAGGCGATTTTTGAGAGCCTCAAGAACGTCCTGCAGACCGACTCGGCCCTCAACGGCGAGGCCGTCGGCCTGGCCATGGGTCTGATCATGCTGGGCACGGGCAACGCCGCCGCCCTGCAGGCCATGTTTGCGTACGCCCACGACACCTCGCACGAGAAGATCATCCGCGGCTGCGCCCTCGGCATGGCGCTCATTATGTTCGGCCGCCAGGAGAGCGCGGACAGCATGGTTGACGCGCTGCTCAACGACCCGGACCCGACGCTGCGCTACGGCGGCATCCTGACCGAGGCCCTGGCCTACTGCGGCACCGGCAGCAACAAGGCCATCCGCAAGCTGCTGCACACCGCCGTCAGCGACACGAGCGACGACGTGCGGCGCATTGCCGTCATGAGCGTCGGCTTCATCCTGTTCCGCAAGCCCGGCAGCGTGCCCCGCATGGTCGAGCTGCTGTCCGAGTCGTACAACCCGCACGTGCGCTACGGCTCCGCCATGGCCCTCGGCATCTCGTGCGCCGGCACCGGCCTCGACGAGGCCATTGATCTGCTGGAGCCCATGATGAAGGACCCCACGGACTTTGTGCGCCAGGGCGCGCTGATTGCGCTGGCCATGATTCTGGTGCAGCAGAACGAGGCCATGAACCCCAAGGTCGCCGCCATTCGCAAGACCCTGAAGAAGGTGGTGGGGGATCGCCACGAGGACGCCATGACTAAGTTTGGTGCGTCGCTGGCGCTCGGCATCATCGACGCGGGCGGCCGCAACTGCACCATTGGCCTGCAGACGCAGACGGGCAACCTCAACATGGCCGGCATTGTCGGCATGGCCGTGTTCACCCAGTACTGGTACTGGTTCCCCTTTACGCACTTTTTGTCGCTCAGTTTCAGCCCGACGTCCATTATTGGCCTGGACCACGAGCTCGAGATCCCCAGCTTCTCGTTCCACTCGGCGACGCGGCCCAGCCTCTTCGACTACCCGCCCGAGCAGGAGGTCAAGGCCGAGGAGGGCCCCGCCATGATCGCCACGGCCATTCTGTCGACGACCGCACAGGCCAAGCGCCGCGCCCAGCGCAAGGAGCGCGCCGCGCGCCGCGAGAGCATGGACATTGACACGCAGCCGCCCGCGCCACCGAGCGCCAAGGTGGCCGCCGCCATCTCGAACATGGCTGCGGCCAAAGCGGCCGAAGCAGCGGCCAAGGCGGCGGCCGCGGCCGAAAACGAGTCGGCCGTTGCCGACGACAAGATGGACGTCGACGAGGACAAGCCCAAAGAGGACAAGGAAGACAAGGAGGAAAAGAAGGACGAGGACAAGGACGACAAGGACGAAAAGGACGACAAGGATGACAAGGACGAGAAGAAGGACGACAAGGAGACCAAGAAAAAGGCCGAAAAGGAAAAGGTCGGCTACGACATCCTCAACATGTCCCGCGTGCTGCCCGGCCAGCTCAAGTACATTAGCTTCCCGGCCGGCCGCTACCGTCCTGTCAAAAAGCCGACGGGCGGCCCGCTGCTGCTGATTGACACCGACCCCAGCGCGGCCAAAGACCTCATTGAGGAGAAGCTCAAGAAGGTCACCATTGAGAAGGCCCCTGTCGCTGGTGCCGGCGGTTCGGGTGCGAACGGTGCCGGCGGTGCGGGCGGCCGCCAAGGCATGATGCGCGACCTCACGCAGGCCCTGGGAGGCGGCCCTGGTGATCTCCGCGCGATTACGGATCTGCTTGGTGCCGCAGGCGCAGGCCGGGCCGGCCGTGGCGGCGCGGCGGGTGCCTCTGGTGCCGGTGGCCCCAACGGTGGTGGCAGTGACGCCCAGGCCGCGCGTAACGCCGCACGACTTTTTGGTGGCATGTTCGGCGCCGAGGGCGGCTTGGGCCTCGACGACATGGACGATCTCGACGAGGCGACGCACGCCGCGATCCGCGAGAGCGGCGCCGCCGCCGCGGCGGGTGTGCTGACGGCGGTGGACGAGGACGGCGAGGGCGACGAGGAGGCCGTCGTGCCGGACGACTTTGAGTACTTTACCGAGACAGAGGAGGATGACGAATAAGCAATTGCCCTGCGAGGAGTGGCCCGGGCCAAAGGCCGAGCCTCTTGTGCTTGTACTTTTTATTTCTTTCCTTTGTCTGTATATTAATCACCATACAATAAACACAAATACACAATGCAGAGCTACAAGCTTGATAGAATCGAATTGTATAAATTATTAAAGTTATTTGGGGGTTTGCTGACTTGCGTCGTCTATTTCTTGCACTCCTTGTCAAAACCACAGCCGTGCAGGACTGCATCCTTACGTCCTTTTCGTTCAATGGTCACCCGGTGCCACGCCGTCGCCAGGTTGCCGCGCACATTGTAAATCCCGTCGTGCCGCTCCGGCTGCGTATTGTACGCGTTGTCGGTGGCCTTGACGACAACTTCGGCGGGCGACGCGTCGCCGCCCAGCAGCAGCCCGTCGTACCGCCACCGCTTCCAGGCAAAGTCGCGCCGGCCGCGGGCGACAATGTTGCCCTTTTGGCGGTCGGTCTCGTCGTCGTAGCGGGCCTGCTTCTGGTCCAGCAGCGTCGCCTGGTCCCACGTGCGCCCGCCGTCGACGCTAACGTCCACGCGCACAATTTCGCGGCCGCCGCCCGAGTAGGCGTAGCCGGTGGCCGTGACAGGCGTCGCGTCCTTGTCCTTGGGGCTGGCGTGCTGCTGCTTCCACTCCGCCTGCCACGCCGCCAGGTCGCGCACGCCAGGCGCGGCACGGCTGCCTAGGCCGGGTGATGGTGTGGGTGTCTCCCTCTGCGGGAGACTGCCGTCTTTGATCGCTTTGTTGATCGCGCTCTGGCCGACCCATACGCCCGTGATGGCGCTCGTCACGGGCATTTCTTGGATCGCCGGGTACCGGTCCCAGTCGGGCGCAGCGCCCTCGTTGGGGCCGAACAGCTTGTAGTCCCGGCGCTGCCACTGACTCGGCGACTCCTCGTCCGACACGACAATCTTGGACAGCCATTTGACAGACCGGGCGGCTACAAACCCAGGCACAATGGCGCGCAGCGGGTACCCGTGGTCGCGCGGCAAGGGCTCACCGTTCATGGCATAGGCCAACAAGACCTCACCGCGCGGGTCGAGCGCCGTCGGGAGCGGGATGCTGGCGGCATAGGCTTCCATGCCGTTAAGTTGGACGTGCAAGCCGTCTGGTGGTACATCGTCGCTGTCGTTGTTGTTTTTATGTTCCGCCTTTGGCCGGCCGTCGTTTCGAGCTGCGCGCAGACCGGCATCGGCCAAAACATCCCGCAGGAGCACGCCCTCCCACACAGCGTTGCTGATGGCACCGGTGCCCCACTGCAGACCATTTGTCTTGCCCACCGCCCGCGTCATGTCGCTCCGCCGGTTGCCCGAGCACTGCAGCACGGCCGTCACCTTGTGCGGCCGAAACCGCGTGCGAAGTTCGTCTAGCGTGTACGCACGCACGTCGCCGTCCGGCAGCTCGACTGTCAGTTTGTGCTGGTCGGCCTCAGCGCCCTCGACGACTGGGACCCACATGTGGTTGCGCACATAGAACAGTTCGTTGGGCGTGGTAAAGTCACGAGTAAGCTGGGGAGGCGCGGGCTCGGCATTGCACGGTTTTTGGGTCAAGACCACGAGCCGTTTATCACGCGTCGGATCGTCGGCAAACGGGTCCTCGACGGCCTCGCCGGCGGCAATCTTGGGCTGGCCGCTGGTGTCTAGGTCGAGCATATCGACGAAACCGATGAGGTAGCTGTCCAAGATTTCCCGGACATGGGGCGCCTTGTGGATGGTAAAAATGGCCCAGTACGGATCGATAGAGTGGCCGGCGGCTCGTAGGATAACATCGCCGCCCGGGTGAGCCGCAACCCAGTCGGTAATGTCATAGACCTTGTCGCCAGACGTGACCCAGGGACTACCCGAGTTGGCGTCATGTTTGCGGACGTCGGCGAGGCGGAAGCGCGGCAACGACGGGTCCCGCTGGTCGCCGCTGGTAGAGGGCGGCGGTGGAGGCGGCGCATCGCCTGTGTTGATATCCTTTGAGCCATCATGGGCGTGTCCGCTGTCGTGCTCGTCGTGGTGGCCGATGTGGACAAGGGACAGCGGTTGGGAGAGGGCAAGAAGGACAGACACAAGGCTCACGCCAGCGTAGAGGGTGAACTTGCCCTGGTCGTTGCGTCTGGGGCCATCATGAGAGCTGCTGTTTGATTCATCGCGTCCTTGGTGGTGATTTCTGTCGTGATTTGTTTGGCCGGTTGGCTTGTTGTTGTGGGTGTCCGTTGCGTATCTCCGACCGCTGTGTATTAGTGGCGGGAGTGGAGTGGATGTGGTAAATAGGGCTGGCAGCTGTCCAAGCGGCTGTAGCCTCCGGGGTGCATCGCGGAAAGATTGCTGTGATTTTTGTATTGTCGGTGAGGCTGAGAAAGAGGCAAATGGTTGCTGTCGAACAGCAGTAGCTTGCGCAATTGAAGTCCTGCTACATAGTGACCGCGACGATGAGATATGCAAGCGGTTTGCTATTCGCACTGCGTTTGGCGTTGTGTTTGCTGCCATCGCTCTGTTTTGTGCTCGCTTGGCGAGTTCATCAGTCCAGAAGTTGGGTTGAAGTAATTAGATGGGCGAGAGATTGGAAGAGTAAATAGGTAAATAAGTAAATAGGTAAGAAGTAGGGAGTCGTGACGAGTGGCCAAGGCAGGAAGGCGCGTTGTCAGATCAAAGTGGCTGTGAGGAAGGTGCAAGGGATGGGATAGGCTTTGGACAGCAAAGATGCCGGCAGGGCAGGCGACAGCCGTTGGTTGATGGGAGGGAAGGTGCGAAGGGCAGTGCCGCTGGTCAGAGTCCGGCTAGAAAAACTATTTTGAACACATAAACCAGTTCCGACGACCGCGGATGTCTTATCGGACAGACGGCGTTCGTGTTGGTGCTCGTGCCACCTTTGGCTTGTTGTCTCGGTGTTCGCTGACAGAATACAGCGCGTACGGACGGCGTATTATTGGCGACGCGGCGTTGCTCGAGACTCACCCATACAGCTTCGGTCTGGTGCTTTAACCTGCATCCTGTCCCTGGCTCGTCATATGCAAGAAGGAAGAACCTGATTTGACAGAGTTGATAATGGACGAGACGAAATAAATGTGGTGATACAAGGTGCAGTGTTCTGTACGGAGTAATTACTTGAGATGTGGAGATGAGAGACAGAGTGGATCTTACAGGGCGCTGAGGTCACGCGAAGCATGTGCACGGTCAGACGGTGAAGCGAGGCGCGATATGGAAGGAGCTGTCGAGGTACCTGATCAAATAGAGAAAAAGGCAAGGACGTCCGATATAGCACTTCACGTTCACTTGTCGCCTTCCCGATAGGGTGTTTTGAACGTAATTTTTACTTAATTGGCAGGAGAGTCTCAGTACTGGTCTTGCCAACAGTCGCACTTTCCAACGGGGACGGTAGACCGACGCTGGCCGATGGGTCTCATGACGTCGGCGTGTCGCGGTGTCGCAGTGTCTTTAGCGTGGCGCGGAATAGGTTGTGGAAAAACTAGGCCTGGAATGAGTGGAAATTGGCGCGGCGCCTGGGCGGCTGCGAATACGAGACGGCCACCGGCTGACCAGCGAGGCTGTCGGCCAGAAAAGAGTTTGCGATGCAATTCAACGGTTCAGTTCCAATACATTCACGTCACTTTTATGGCCAGCTTTTGCTAACAGACGATGTGCTCATAAAATATTATTTGTCTGCACTACAGCCACTGTATCAATGCATCAATCACTAACATTACAGGGCTCTCACTTGTATTGATCGCCACCATCGGACAGGCCAGACGTGAAATGGACAAAATAAACTTCGAATACGGGAAATAAATACGAAGGTTCGTTCTAAAAACCGGGTCATCAAGGTACGAATTAGCATGAAATACAATTTAGTTGTGCTAGAAACCCGAACAACCAAAGAAACTTGCTCAAGACCCGCCCCGTATCCGCGCCTACCACGGCTGTCGGCTGCACCCGAGCGCCGCTGTGCGCTGCCCTACACCGCGCTACACCACGTTACACCCGCGTCCGCGGCCGCCACTACGGCTTTTCAAGCCTCCAGAGCCGGCGTTGTGTTCCGCGACCGCCCTCGTCTCAGGGTGCTAGCGGCCGAGCCGGCCGTTTTCACGGCTTCTGCGGCCTTTCCCTTTCCCTTTGCCTTTGCCTTTGCCTTCAGTGATGCTTTGGCAATGGTCACAGCTACAGGCGCTGCACTCTTGTCCTGTCGCAGCCGCACTGCCTTGGCCGCCCGTCCACGCGCTTCGCGAATGACACGCAGCTGTTTGCCCGTCGGGTCGGTCGGGTCGCGGTCGTACTCGGGCACGGCCGACTGTCGGAGCTGGTCATCGTCGTCATCGTCCTCGTCCCCAGCGGCACTTTCCTTCTTCCCAGGATGGTAGGAGGGGTCGCCGGCCTTTTTCTTTGGCGTGGCCTTCTTTCTTCGGCCAACCTCCTCCTCCTCTTCCTTACCCTCCTCTCCCTCCTCGGCATCATCCTCCTCTTCCCCCTTTGGTGGCTTGTAGGATGGATCGGCGACTTTGGGTGCCGTCGCCCGCTTGCGCTTCTTGCCTGCAGACGCACCCGAGAACACACTATCGTCGTTCGCATCGACTTTGCTAGGGGTACGGCTGCGGCTGCGGAGCGGTCTGTTTCTGTCCGTGGGCACCTCTGCCTCTGCGCCCAACTGGGACACACCCTGCTCCTTTTTCAGGATGCTGTGTTGTTCCACCATGTGCCGCAGCTTGTCCTCGATGGTGTCGTGGAACGCAAACTTGTGTAAACAGGATGAACAGATGTTTAAGGACGCCAAGTCCGTTTCTGGGTCGGTACCATCCACGGTTGTTGGAGTGGAGGATATGCTTGCGAACAGAGACCTGCGTGGTGGTCCGTAGCTGTACGGCATCGATTCCAAGTTTTTGTATGAATCCTGGTAGCCCCAGATCCCTTTCCGGTATATGTCCGCTTCATGCCAATCGGCCTCCTTTTCACGCGTCACCCAGACTTCCGGCCCGACAATTTGGTTGCACACAGCCTGCCACTCGTTCTCCGTCGTCTTAGCAGACAGCAAGAATTCGGGCCGGTTGCTGCCGTCGCGCTGGCGAATCCAAATGTGATTGAGATCACGTTTGCTCTCGACACTAGTGCAAAACCGCTTGTCTTGGTACTCCTTGTACTCCTCGTAGTCTGGATCGTTGGCGTCGTCATGGATGGCACCCAGGATGGCCTTAACACCGTTAAAGAACGTCTCATACGGGCCATCAATTTCAAAGGCAAAGGAGGCGGTCTTGTCGCCTGGCCTCTCCACGTGAGCCGTGTATGTCGAGTAGTTAGGCTGGATTGACACAATGGATGGTGGGTCACGGTACCCGGTTGTGGTCAGCTCCAGCGACGAGCCAGAGGTTGGCAGTGCCGGTACTGTCACGAACCATGCTGCGGGGTCCCAAATTGCGCCCCCAGACCAAACGTTCACATCCTTGAGAAGGCGGCGCTCCTCGGCGGTGGTGCCAGCTGTCAGCACGCGGTCAATGCAGCGAGCCAGTGTAGTGTGAAAATGTTCCTGGATGCCACTTATGGGTTCGCTGTCGGTGACTTCAGGTCCGACTGCTTCAGACGCATCGCTGCTTAGGCCTGGCAAGAAAACGCAGACTGTCCATCGGGGCAATGGCTCCATGTCAAATGTCGCGTACCGCGAATGGCGGTCCATACCGTCATAGGTCGATTTAAATAAGTTGCCGGCCAGCGAATCGGCAACTTGCTGAAAATGTGCAGAAGTAAAACCGAGGCCGCCATAGGTTGTGAAGGGAACGAATGGAGCCGCTGGGCCAGACCGCCAACCCCCATCGTGCAAACCCATGCGTGAGTGGGCCACAATGGAACCGGGTGTGCCCGAAGCAAGGGCGTGGCCGGCACCGGGTGTGAGAATGCGTGCTGCAACCTGCATCCAGCGACCATATTGATTGGAGCCCAGCCGATAGCGCGCCGTGTAGACATTCGGAGATCCTATACGTATCTTCTCGCGGTATTCAATGTGGATGGGCAGATACGCAGCATCTCCAGAGTCTTCCCTGCGACCGCTCAACGCCGACCCGTTGACGATGCATTTTACCAGGTAGGGCGATGGTCGCCAGTGCCAAAGGTCGGCAAGCTGCTGGTCAGGGGCATGGACGAATGGTACGAGTAAACCGTCATCGTCTTCGCGTTTGTCGGGAATTTCTCTGCGGCCGTGGCGCGATTCTAGGATCGATAGGCGGATCTTGTCAAACGCGAAGGGACCCGAACCCTCATCGGGCCCATGCTGGCTGAGGCCGTGGTAAGTCTCTTGGACGACTGCTGCATGGTATCCGCCGACGTACCCTTTCAACAGAGAGATGCTGATTTTCTGGGTCGCACCCATGAGACGGAACACGGCGTCAACAAACGTCATGGGGTCTGCCAAGTCAAAACGAACGGCACCTTGGTAGCCGTACAAGAATGCACGGGTGGTCCGCACCGAAAATGTCTTGCCGAACGACCCGACACGGACTGTCTTCATTCTTTTGACCACCTCTGCACCGCCAAGAAGACGAGGAGCAGTTCTCGCAGGAATTGTCAAAGTGACGGGCTCCGCATGGTCTTGGTCTTCGCCCGTCTCTGTGATGTCCGAATCCGAAAATGCATCCGAGTCCCCCCACGGCATCGGGGAAATATCGGCGCCGTTGGTGTTATCGGTGCTATTGAAGTCATCTCTGACTTCCAGTGGCGGCACCGGAACACCAAAGTAGGACATAGCAAGCGTCATGGCTTCGACATGTGTCCGGTTGAGAGGCGTGGCGGCAGGAAGGCAAAAGCCACCGTCAGAAGGGGCCATCTGCAGGCGTCGCTTCGTATAAAACTGACGGTGCTCTTGTTGCAGCCGGTACAGCACCGCGTTTTGGTCACGAGAGACGGCAAACAACAGATCGCGCTCGTTCTGCGAGAGCCCTGCTTGCATGGCAAGCTCCTGCAAGGTCACAGGGTTGTCCTGGTCTTCCAGACGAGCTCGGAGTGCGGCAACGAGCTCAACAAAGTCAGGGTCATCAGAACGGATGGATGACCGCCGGCGGTGAGGCGAGGACGTCGGCGACGGCGGGGGCAGACCGCTGATGCCGTCACAAAACTCGACGCCCATCTCACTAGTTTTGGACTGCGGCGTGGAAAACGAGGGCCACCAGAACATGCTGACGATGAATAACGAAATGTGGATTGGGGTAATTGGTTAAGATGGCAACGAGAGGGATGTTCGGAAGTGTAAATTGTTCTCCGGGAGAATTTGTGAAATAAGACACAAGTGAAACATAGACGAACGGACACGATGCGCATAAAGTAGAGGAAGAACAGAATGAAGGTCCAAGATAAATAAGGTCTGCGGGCACAAAGTAGAACATACTTACCGGTTCTCATCTTCAAAAAAAACAAGGCCATTTGCGTGCCACAAGACGCCTAGAATTGATCTCCATCTATTCTTCCATCCCTTTGATGGTGGAATGTATCTCACCACACAAAGAAAGGAACGGTTGTGCCTCAAGAGGTTATGTTGGGCGAAGAAAATTTCCCAAGACGGACAGTTTAGCAAACTATAGGAGACTTGTATTCCGGTTGCGTCGAAGCCCAGTTGGTAATTTCTTTGTTTTGCTCTGCTGTTGTCAAGCGGCTTCAGATTGGGAAGCGATCCTCGGGCTCGATGCGGACACAGGGCTGAGGTGAACGCTCTCTGCCATCTAAGGGTGCAGCGTTGGAAAGTAGCACGTCTGAAAGAAATGAATCAAGAATATTGATCCAAAGCCGGGCTGTGTTTTGACGCCGCTTAGGCGCCAGGGTCGCAAGGATTCATCTGTTGGTTGTTGTCTTTGTTGGCCATTGCAGGCCTGAAGAAGTGGCGCTAACGACTTACAACAATTGCAACGCTCTTATTTTGACGAAAACGGACCAGCAGATGAACAGCATTCTCTTCACAAAGCAGGATAGGAGGCCGTAGCATTGCGGCCGAGAAGGAAAACTTGCAAAGTTGAGCCGCCACTGCGAGGGCGTTGCGCAACCTGGCAGAGAAAGAACTTGGCTCGATGGGAGAGCAAGAGTCTAGCAGGCGAGTGGGATTCAAGCCCCAAGGCGAGATCTAGTATGGTTAGAAGACAGCACATTATGGGCCATAACGGCCAATGCTATTGACGAGATACCGTATTGTTTGCTGTCACCACTCCGTCCGATGAGATCATCGCCGAACAGGACAAACGGCTTGAGGGCTACAAATAAAGTCAGCCAACTTGACCACGGTTGTTTTGGCCACAGATAAACAGACATACTCATATTTTCGACGGCCATATTGGCTTCGAGCGAGTCGACAAAAAGCGACGGCTTCGGCAGCCTCAGCCGTGCCGTCAACTGTCGCTCCGCTATCCTGTTAGCCGGCCTGGTGAGAGGGCGCAGTTTGAAAACAAACAAACCGCCGCGCGTTGAATGTGATGATGTCAGAAAGCAGCGACATTGGAGCTGGAAATTGGAAAAGGACAAGAAAAAAAAGTACAGATATTAAGCCCCTGAATTTTGCAAAATCTTGTGGTTTTCCTAGCTGAAAAGGGCAGTTGTACATTCGCACCTTCCTTCAGTCTGCTCGACTCGAGGATGCTGGACAGGAAGCTAACTGCACTACTCAATTTATGGCCTTGGGTCGCTTTACACATGGCTTTCCCCCGCCACAACTATGGCTATTGACACGGTCTTGCTAACGGTTAGCCAATAATACGTCTCGATTGCATCCAATGGCCCCACTCCGGAGCTTTCATCGGCAGCTGCATGGGACGGACTTATCTGATTGGCGGAGCGGGGTTCGTGCGGTTGGGCTTCCCAATGGCCAAAGGGAAAAAAAGCGACGCAAAAGCCGACCGCGATCATACCACGACCTGATCTCACGACCACACATTCTTGTCAACTGCCTTTCCCACCAGCATCCGTCGCTTCCTCCAATTCTCTTGAGAGAATGCGTCGTCGCGGCCGTGGCGTGTAGACAACAATGCCGCCGCCAGGCCAAGTATTGCCTCTGCTCCGCAAGGGCGGATGCGCTGTCGCATCGAACCTGACATTGCGGACGGCAGCAAATACAGGCACATGCCGACAGGTGTGGCCGGCGCGGCCGCAAACACAGACAATACACGCGCCGCAGTTATTATTACGACCTCTACACCGCCACCATGGCTTTTCGACGTCACGACGGGCACCCTCTGCTTCGGCAACAGCCGGAGGCCGTGGACAGCGTGACGGATCTGCTTCTTCAAACAGCGACAACGCCACGCCATTCCAAGACGAGCACCTGAAGAAGAGCTACTTCCTGTCCAATACGCTCATGGACCGTGTGGCCGGCCTCAGCCCCGGATCGTCTCTTTCCAACTCCCCCACCCCCCACAACCCGCACGCCAACGCCGAGGCCCTTCCACATCGCCGGCGCCAAGCCGCACGACGGCAAGCCAAACTGGCTGCTGCTGCTGCTGCGTCGTCCACTTCGTCCTCGACTGTGCCCCCCTCGGCCGTCTCCCCCGAAGAAACCTCTTCCGCCTCCCACTTCGCCCCCTCCTCTCCTTCCGACCTTCCCGAAAACGCCTCCGCCATCCTCAGTGACATGGCCGCTCGCCAGCCCACAACATCGATTCGGCGCCTGGCATCGTCGCTGCTCTCGCTCGCCAAGCCGCGACTGACCGTGCTTGTCGTGCTGACGGCCATGGCGCCGTATGCGCTGTACCCGGTACCGTCCTTCTTGACCAACGGCCTGCTCGAGACGACGCCCTCCCTCTCGCCGCTGACCCTCTTGTTTCTGACAACGGGCACCGCGCTCTGTTCGGCCTCCGCCAATGCACTCAACATGCTGTACGAGCCCGACACGGACGCGCGCATGTCGCGCACGCGCAACCGGCCGCTCGTGCGCATGCTCGTCAGCCGCCGCGCTGCGCTCTTGTTTGCCGTGGGCTGCGGCGTGGCCGGCGTGGCCGCTCTGCAGTGGGGTGTCAACCCCACGGTGGCGTTCCTGGGCGTCGCCAACATTGCGCTCTATGCCGGCGTCTACACCCCGATGAAGCGACTGAGTGTCCTCAACACGTGGGTCGGCGCCCTCGTCGGCGGCATCCCGCCGCTCATGGGCTGGGCCGCGGCCGCCGGCGAGTCCGCCGCCACGTCGTCGGCCCGCGAGCTGCTGTTTGCGCCCGACGGCTCGAGCGCCGGCGGCTGGCTGCTGGCCGCGCTGCTGTTTGCGTGGCAGTTCCCGCACTTTATGGCGCTGTCGTGGGCCGTGCGGCACGAGTACCAGCGGGCGGGCCTGCGGATGCTGGCGTGGGTGAATCCGGCGCGCAACGGGCGCGTGGCCCTGCGGTACGCCGCCGCGTTCTTGCCCATCTGCGTCGGGCTGTGCCTTGCCAACGTCACGTCGTGGAGCTTCGCTGTCACGAGCCTGCCCGTCAACGTGTGGCTGGTGCGCGAGGCGTACCAGTTCTGGCGCTTCGAGGGCCACCAGGGCTCCGCGCGGCGGCTGTTCTGGGCGAGCGTGTGGCACCTGCCCGCGCTGATGGTGCTGGCCCTGCTGCAAAAGAAGGGCATGTGGACGCGCGTCTACCAGAGTGTGTTTGGACAGCCCGTGCTGGACGACGACGACGAGTTGGACGACGACGACGACGACGACTACCTCTGGGAGGACGAGGTCAAGACGGGGTCTGTCCCGGCCGTCGTGCCAGGGGCTGCCTCGCCGACATCCAAATAGCAGAGCTATATTATACCGTCATGAAGACCAATAATTATTGCATAGTAGAGGGACTGTCACATATGAGCAGGTGTTTGTTTGCATTGTACGATAGCAGGTGGTTGGTAGGCATCAAAAGGAGCATCTTGGCTGGATAATTGTTCCGTTTTCTTAATTTTGTTACATCCAATCCCTATGTCCTGTCTTGCATTTCTACAGGCATGCCAGCCTTGTCCCGTGCGCCATTGTGCCTGTGCCCTCCTGACCTGCAGTGACGCCCCGTTATCACCCGCTACGGTGGTCAGGAGCCACTGGTCCCCCACGTATCCAGCCAGCAACTATCGGCACGCGTTGTCATGTTTCCCTGTTGACTTCCAAAAAACAAGCAACGTCCGAGGTACATACCACAGGACGACAATACACATCATGTCCGACAGCACAGATGGCGAAAGCGAGGAGGATGCGCTCGACTGCTACATTGTCCGGGCGCGATGTGGACTGTGTCGATTCCTCTTCGAGAAAGGCGACAGAGTGGTGACCGGTTCGTGCCTTTCTCCGTTCCCTCGTCCAGCAGTTTCATGAACTCCTCTTCGACATCGTGAACATATCTAACGATTTCTTTCCACCCTTTAAACTTTTTTTTCGTGTATTCTATCCAGATGCTGGTGGCCATCGCTCAAAGCCATATCCTTACTTGTTTACAAATTATTGCGAGACAGACGAAGACGCCGGCATCCAGATCTGTTTCCGCTATGACTGCGATGCACCCGACGAGGGCCAGCGACCAGCAGCCGCCTACCACGAGACGTGTCTTGGATTATGGGGTCCCGAGATGCCCGCATGGGGCGCTGACGATTTCTCCGCAGCCGCAATCTACACTTTCAAGCCGTCGTTCCTGGACGACCAACGTCGGCGGGACCGGATACGACGTTTTCTGTGCAAAAAACTGCGCAGCCTGTACCCGTCCGCCCGTCTCCCGCTAGAAGTCTGGCATATGGTGGCGACCGACGAGTTGGTCCGTATGTGCGCTGTGTACAGCATCATCGATCTGTGGCAGAGGAGGAACAGCAGCAACGTGGAGCTAGACATGACACGAGACATTTGGGCGCACTACATGTACATCGAGGGTGTGCGATATATCGAGCGCCTGACGAATACACCTCCGGCCGATGACGATGGGCCCAGATACGACAATGCTCCTGCTGTTGCGCGACTTGTGGATGAAAGGAAAGTGTCAGATTACACAATTTTGTACGTGCTCGAAGACTATCTTGGCATCCGGCAGCTGGTGGCTGCTACGTCGAAGCGCGACCTTTCTGCGCTGACCGTCGCGTCCGTGAACACGGCCGATGGACGGGATAACATGTGGTGGAGGATGGTACCAATCCAGCAAGGAGAAGTGCTACGGGCGGTTACAGATGTGAGTGCCGCATCCGAGTCTTGTGTCTTGCCTTGGGCGGCTCTCCCTGACTATCCCTGACTACTCTAGTTTTGCTAACAAAGGCGGTGATCACGATAGGGCTTAAAGATTCGGCATATTACAATAGGCGGTGAAGCCTGCATACCCAGCGACGGGCAATACCAACCACCGCCCAAGTCTGTTGTCTGGCGAGCCCCGATGACGCCGTCCAGGATCGCGGCCATGCGTTTTGTGGACTACGCGCCGTCCGGCCGCATGGACAAAGAATGGGGTGACTGGCACATGGAATCGACTGTTTTGAATGCTCCACGTGTAGTAGGCTATTCTGCGTTTTGGTTTGGTCATCTACTGGGCCTGCGTGCTCATTACGGTAACGAGAAGGACCTGTCGTTTTACGACCAGTACGACATCCCCGAGTTCCTTGGGTTCTGCGTCTTCATCTATTTCCCGCTGGCGAAAGGGGAACGTCTCGCCGAGGTCTTTGGCCGCCGAGGAGGCCAGGACAACCACATGGGCCTCCTTATTCGGACCAACCGCGGCCGAGATATGGTCCTTGGGCCAGATCTGCCGCAATACCATGACCACTTCCAGCACCTACGCTTCCGGCATATCTGCAGTTTACCGAGCGACAGGCCAACACGCGTGCACTACAACGCCTCGCCGCGTGGCGTACAGCGACTTGTCTTTGAGGATGCCAATCCTGCGAGTCACCCCGCTGTCCAGCCCGCCAGGATTCTCCAGGACCCGAGCTTCTCGTCCGCGGGCATGTACTTTGCCTCCACTGTTTGCCTCGATGGCGCAGTCCGTGCCACGCCATCATACAAACAGCAACTCTACCTGGAGTGCCACTTTATGATCTGCGGTCTCCTGTTCGAATACCTCGACGAAAGCCGGCCACATGTCGCCCTTGGTGAATTCCGCCTGGACCATGTTGGCAAGCCGATCAGCTTGTTGGACGTGGATGCGCTATATTTCGGCTACTCTTGCGAAGGGAAAACAAGCTCACATCTAACAGAAATCGTAACCTCGCGGCGGCCAGATACTCCTACGATGACGTGGGTGCGGATTCCTCTCAGGGGATATGCCGAGATGTGGTTCGAGGGCCTTCACTCTTTCCTTTCTCACTACAACACAGCTCCGATAGATTGCTAATATCAACCTCCTCCTCGCTTTACATGGTAACAACAAAGAACGACCATCTAGTATACACAAGTATGATCATGCCTAATCTTAGCTGTTATGTTTCTACTGCTTTTGAGTGGATATCAGCAGTCGGTTCAGGCATTTTACTCTTCTCAACGCCGACCAAGCGAGCTTTTTTGTGTGATCGATTTGACACCGTTGGCCTAGCTGCCATTATCCTGCATCGATTTAACCGGCAACGTTGTAACTATACCCTTTACTTTTGTACCGTCGTGAGATTTCTCGGAAATAATATCCTTTGCAAACGACTAGAATACACAAATTAAAATTCAAGAACTGAATAATGGTGTGCACGTTGTCGGATGTTTCAAGATCTTGTCAAATTGGTTCAGATTCGGGTGTAGTAAAAGTAAATTGCATTGTTTAAATAACTGTACGTAGCAATGGAATTAGGGACCAACCAACCAGATCGTCGTAAACGCCAGAGCACCTGTCCTGTTTTGCTCTCATTAAATGCATGTAAACGCCGTCTCTCCAAAATGGCCGCCAAGACCCAAAGACCCAAAAATAACAAACACAATTCCCGGAAATCATAGGAAGCACTAAAACTTCAAGAAACCAGCGCACAAAAATGACGAGACAAATGAAAGAGCGTAGAAACAGACAAATGAAATTGTAGTGTGCTGATCACCGCCGGTGAAGCAGCGCGTCAATACCCATATCGGGCGACAGGCGGTGGCTGTGGTGGGCCGGCTGCTGTCCTGGATGGCCGTGGTGCTGGTGATGGCCCATGTAGGGACTGACCATGGCTGCGCCGCTGCCGGTGGATGGGATTGTACCAGCGCCGGCCGAGAAGCCCGTGGAGGTTGCGGTGGTGTAGTAGTCCGGATATGTGGCACCAGGCGAGCCGACCTCCTGCTGGGGTACCGCGCCGGGACTGCCCGCCGAAGATGGCACCTGGAGGTGGGAGTAGCTGTGCGAGTGGGAATGTGAATGCGCGTGCCGCCGCGACGGGGCCTGCATGTGGTGCGTCGTCTGCACCGACACCGTGCTGCTGTTGCTTCCGCCCGACACCGACCGGTTGCCGGCACCGACGTTGCTGCCTGTGCTGCCACCTGGGGAGCCGTGGCCGTCGATCAAGTTGTCACCACCGCCGGCCCCGCCATCACCACCGCCGCCGCCGCCAACGCCATCAACGCCACTCCCCGCCACAAGGTGCGCGTGGCCATTGCTGCCGACGACCATGCTGGTGCCCAGCAGGTTCTCGTCGCCGGCATAGGCGGGCAGGCCCCCCACACCGACGTACCCCTGCTCGATCCGCAGCCGCCGCGAGGACGACCGCGACACGCCCTGCAGGTTCTTGAGCCCGGCATTCATGCACTTTTGCTCCACCGTCGTCCACTTCTCGCCCGTCCGCTGCGCCAGCGGCGTCCACATTTCGCGGCGCATGTGCATGTACTCGCGCGCCAGCTGCTCCATCTTGCGCGCGTCAAAGTCGTTGGTGGCGTTGCGGCGCTCCATCAGGCGCTCGTGGCGCTTGCGGCAGGCGTTGGGCGTCTTGCCGGGGAACTGGATCTGGATCTGCGACCAGTTTTCGCCGCGCGCGCGGGCCTGGAGGAGGGCGTCGTCGTCTTGCGGGGTCCAGGCACTGGAGGACGCCCGGCCGCTGCCACCGCCGCCCGTGGCGGTGGGCTGAACAGAGAAGTTTGCCGAGGCCGAGCGGGCGCCACTTCGCGACATGCGGCGACCGTTGCTGGTGACGACGGTCCCGGGGAGGTTGCCGCCGAGTGTCAAGGGGGGCCCGACGGCAAAGGGCTCTTGCTGCTGGTAGGAGGCAACGGCAGCCATGGCGTTGCTGCCGAGCGTGCCGGCCGTCGAGGTCGACACGCCCTCGGGAAGCTGGTCATAGTAGCCGACGGCACCATTGGTGGAGGCCACGCCTGGGCCAGAAAGGGACCCGATGCGCCCGTGATGGTAGTAGGAGGGCATGCCTGCTTGATGATGATGCGACTCGAGAGAGGAGGGAATTGCAGTGTAGGACTCGGAGCTAGCACTGGAGGTGCGGCTGAGTCTGCTCATGTCGATGAGACGAGAGTACAACAGTAAAAGAAAGATTGGAGACAGTGACAAAACTGAAAATGTAAAGAATGTAGTAGGTATAGAAAGGGAATCTGTAGAGACACGAGTGGAATGAAGTGAGTGGATTGTGTGTGTGGTCGCGAGCGAGAGGAAATTAGTGATTATCACTATGGTTTGTGTAAGTGAGAGTAATGATACGAAAAATGACTGTGTATATGGAGCGAATTGGGAAAGTAAAAACGCAAAAGACGGTGAAAGAACACTATGTCGGTTCGTATCAAACGAACGGCGACGAAAATAAACGAAAGGTGAATCGAAAAGTACACAACACACAGACGGATAATGAAGAACAAGAAGCAGAAAGAAAAAAGAACGACGAAAAGAAAGGGTTGATCTTGGTATCTTGAAATGGTCTGACGAAGGAAGAACCAAAAGAAGAAATGGACAAGGCCAGGCCGGTCTTCTTATAAGACAAAATGAACGACGAGACGAGTGGATGGATCGTATGTGTGAGTGGAACGATATGACACAAACGTAAAGAACGGCTTGAGAACGAACGGCAAAAAGCATAAATCAAAATATTAGAGCGCAGGGCCAAGGATGGCGACGGCGTCTAACAAAACGCAGCAGCCGATCGATTGACAGTCGACGACAGACCGCCGGGTAGGACAGGAGCCGCCGAGGGAAGGCTGTGTGAGACAGTCTGGAGGAGTAAATAAAACGAGATAGAGACACACAAAAGAGTGTAGACAGAGGGCAGGCTTGCCACAATGTCGAATGACGTTGCCTTCACGAGCAAGAAAGACTGCCGTAAACTGTGCAGTCGCTTCCAGGCGTCTACAGGACGTTTAGCAGATAATTTTGTGTAGCAGCAGCGCGTGTATTTTTTCTGTTATTTTTAACTCCACAGATATGCACGGCGGAAATGAGGGTATTCCCAGCGGGTGGAAGAGTGATCTGAAACAGCGAGAAAGATGGAGGGGACAAGAAAGAAGCAATGGAAAGAAGAAGATGAAACCAGATAGTGTACCAAACAGACGAGTCGACGGCCAACGGGCCTCTGATATTGGCTGGACGGCGTGGAGAGACGTCCAGCTGGTCTGTCTGGTATGTCTATCGGTGGTGTACGTGCAATCTTGGGCGGCTAGATGTTGTTTGAGAGGACCGTGGAGTGGGCCTGGGGAAGGTACAGTAGAGCAAAAACGAAGCACTGACGAGCTTGAAAAAGCGTGTGAGAGTGTGCAGGGTATCGAGAGAAAAAGGCAAAAAGAAGAAAGAAAAGCATAAGAGTGGCTGGAGAGGCAGAGGAGACGGGGGTAGGGGGAAGAGGATGGGCGCCAGATTGGGCGCCTAGCTGTTTTATGTACGATGGAGCTGTAAGTTGCGACGTATGTGAATTTGCAAGAAGGCCAAGACGGGAAAGGAAAAGAATAGAATCTGCTCCAGTTCTGGAGAAATCGGGAGATTTCTTGTCCACGGATGTCAGTTTTGGAGATCACCATGTCTTTCACTCTACGGACAGGTACGGCGTGTTGACGAGCGTACCAAAAAAGGAAATGTCGTTGAGCAGACGAGGCAGATGTCAGGACGAAAATATAAAAATAACTAGTGCAATATCGGACAGCCATATTAGCTGTGTGTACAGCACCATTGCTATATTGCAAGTATTTGTTTTCTGAAGACGGGTAGTTGACGACATGCGATCTTGTACGTCAAAGCAATCTAATAGACAGCTCTGAAAGGTCTGCGAGGCGCGCAGGGCAAGCTTTGAAGCCGGCGGCGGCAACAGAAAGGGGAAAATAAATTGGCAAGTTCAAAAATAGCATGGAAAGAAGCTATCCGGGGAACGACAGGACAAAACGAATGAAAAGATCGGGAAACCAAAGGAAACACACGCGGTAGACGAGCCGTCCACGTTCCAAGAACACTTGTCCGTGGCTGTTCCTGGTTCCTGCAGGCAAGAGACGCGCCAATTTACATTGCCGCCGGAGACATGATCAGAGAGCTCTGTGCTTTGACTTGTGGGCTATTGTCTGTTGGCTGTTGGCATTGCTGCAGGAATAGATCCCAAGGCGCCAACAGATCTCGAGGATGTGTACCTTCACGAGACCTGATAGATGCTGTGTTACGATGTTTGGAGAGAAGCAAAATCGAACATCAAGATGTTTGTATGCAATGTCCATTGCTGGCAAATGGCGTTGCGTGGCGCCGATTGTTCAGGGGTCTTTGAAACAAAACAAATCCACTGGCTGTCCAGCGGCGGTCCACTAAAGCCTACAGCCGTCCACTGTAGCGGCGAGCGGCTAACCCCGACAAAAGCGCCTGAGCGAGCGGCATCGACGCCAAGGATGCACAAAGCACCAAGCTAAGCACGCGACAAAAAACAGACGATTGAGCCCTCATCCGGTGTGCTTTATTTGGCAACACTTTGGGGAGAAGAGGACAAAGACTCGAGGGAAACATGAACTGAACAATGGTATCTAGACTGGACTCAATTTGCTTGACTTTTTTGGGTTAATTTGCGATATTTGCCAAAGAGAAAAGAGGCTTTGCGCTGTTCACCCAGCCGCGTTCACTTTTCTTCAGCGGCTTTCGTTTTTGCGCTGTTTCTATTTATGGCACATCACGTGGAGCGCCCGCCATTGGACAATTTGGACAACACGAGGAAATTGGCGTACCGCCAACATGGAAACACGGAATCGCTGTCAAACATTTACCACCTGCAAAACATCGCGACGTCTATTAGACGCCCGCATCTCTGGCGTCTCGCTTGCTTCTCCCCGCTCTCTTTTCTCGACGAGCGCGCGCCTTCTCTGGTCAGGATTGCGTCCACTCCAGATATTCTTGTCTTTTGAGCTCAGCCACAATGGTTGAGTTCGTTGTGTCGAGGTCATACGCCGGGTATGCCAAGTACTGCACAATTTCAGAAGCCCACGAGACCACACCAACAGCTTTCCTGCGCGACATACATCTAGATGTTCCCCTATGTTTCAGGGATGACAAGCACTGGCCAGATCGATTGGTCGGGGCCTGGCCGTGGCCATACGAGACCTTGTTTAACGAGCCGTGGACATGTAAGATACATGCCAGCTCGTAGCCGGGTTTAGGGTCATGACGTTCACAACACTTTTCATAACATAAGCACCCTGAAATTGCGTGACAAGTTTCAGAGGTTCTTGTAATCTGCCACGGGGGCGTGGCATCGCGGTCGCTCCTTCTGCTTTCGTCTTCTCGAACAAGGTCCGCAAAGCGCTCGGGAAGCAGGAGCGGGCCAGGCCTAGCGGCCGCAGCTTCTTATGAACGACAAGCCAAGTGCCACAATGTCGTTCATAAATCCACGATGTATCTCTTAAACGACAATCGAATCCCGTGTGCTTCCGTTGTTTAGTCGGACAAAGTAAACAAACTCCGCGTGCCCGGCGCGTCGCAGAAATCGGATTTAGCATCTGATGGTTTGCTGCTGACGCTTGTAAGTGCCTGTGATTTCCGATTTTGGTTGGTGGATTGTGGCACTACATGCGCCCAAACCTAACCTGGCATAAGTCCGCTGTATCATGTCCAACAGAAGCATAATCGGTAGTGGAAGCGACGAAACGAGGAATATCGATTGGCGAAGGCAAGGCTGGACGTGCCCGTCCTTTTATGTGGTGCCTGGCAGTCTGCACTCGGTTTTGATCTTCAAAAACGGAAGCACAATTTGCAAACTAGCCTTTGTCACCGTTTCTCAACAAGTGCTTTGGGGCAAAACGCATAACGGTATTGATTGTCGTCGTTATTTGATGGGATGGTGTATGCCGAAAGGCCAAGGAAACGGCAAGAATAAATGAAGGATCGTCCGAAACGGGCACGGACAGAAATGTACGGAGTTGGGGGAAAACCGCCGAAATCTGCAGGCCGTGTCTTGGCAGGTTTACCAGGGACCCTTTTTTTTTGTTTTTGTTCATTATCGTCCCCGTTCGTTTCGCCATGTCGACACAACGTGGAGAGAGTTCTCGACCGGACTATGAAGGGATGACAAATGGAGCCTGACGTATGAGTGAGCATTTCTCAATATGTCTACTGCGCATTCACAAGACGAGCCGGCAATGCTACCCGGCCGGTGGAAAACCATGTGTCTCCAAATCCCTGGACACACGAAAAGTGCGATAAAGGAACAGAACGGTTGCCATACCCCAGAGAAGGCCCGATATCCTCTCCACTTGTCCTCCGCCTTCTCCTCACCCTTTTGACTTTTGCCGCAATGGAGGAAAGTCTTCTCCGTATGTTTGTTCTTCTTAGCTTCTTAGCGCCGGTTCTCGATTTCGATTCACCCCCAGCACTCCCCATTTACCCCATTCTCGACTCTCCATCTTTCATTTAGCCTGAAGTGAACCAGCCCCCACTTCACGACTGCCGTCATCCAAACCGCCACGAGGCAACATCACCCGTAGGAAACTGTCTGACTGTGTCTCATGATTGGACACTCCAGGAATCTTCTCCAGAGGCCACCGTTAAATCGCCGAAAGTTGACTTTTACCGGGGGGCAATTGCCTGGTCTTTCATTCCTTCTCTCCGACAGTCTCGCCGTTTTGGCTTTGACGGTGTGCTGTGCCGTATTGCCGCTACAACAAGCCACAAACCGCATCCCGTGTTGCTCGTACCAGACTTGCGTTGTGTCTGGTAGCATAATCTTCACCTCCACACGCACAGCAAAGAAACGGAACGGAACAGAGAACCTTTCGTTTTTTTTTCTCTTTCTGTTGTTTCTTCCTTTCTTCGTTTATCGAATGCCCGTCCGAGATCGATCGTGTTGGCTGAAAGGCTAGTCAAAAATGGAATAATCGAACGCCACAAGGCAAAAAATCTCCTTTGCTATGTTCCTTAGCCTTTCTTGGCAGCTATTCAATCTTGGCATGCCGACTGCTGGGTTTCATCGAACGACGACTCATGTTTAATGCTCCTGTCATTCGTAGCGACCGTCTTTCGTTACTCCAATTGGAACATTTACTGTTTTGGCGTAG